GATTGTGTTTTTTTGGCCAATGAATCTATTGATTATTGGAGGAAAAAAGGAAGGAAAGGAGTGGTTTTTAAAGTCAATTTTCCCACCTTCGTTAACAGAGAGCGAATATTCTAGGGAATTGAATTTTCAAAGGGATACTACATAACCAAATATCATGCCAAAAGAGAATTAACTCCCCATTACAAACTTGTACTAGAAGATGATTGCATAAACATAATCCAAAAACATCATTCTTAAGGTAATTGTTGACCACTCCTCTCCATAACCAAAAGGCTTGTGAGGTCAGAACATTGTCCATCGAGATAGACCTATAATCTATGTTGTATATGCTACACACCACCCTGTTCCACCATGTCTCTTTCTCATTAGCAAATTTCCAATCCCATTTCACTAGTAGAGCTCGGTTCATATGATTAAGATTGATAAAGCTATCAAAACTGGATTGATAAAGCTATCAAAACTGTTCAAGGCGTCTTTTATTTTTCATCCATCATTTCATCTCATCTTTTTCCATCGCCGCTCGCCCACATCTTTCATCATTGTCCTCCAACCGCCGTCTGTCGTTCGACATCCGCCGTCTGCCGTCCGACATCCGCCGTCCACCGCCACTTTCCGTCATCCGTTCGCCGCCATTTTTCATCAGGAAGATCGTCTCCTCACTCTGTTTTCTTTTTTGAGTTTGGATTTTCGAGAAAGTCTTTCTTTGGCGCAGATATGATCGCCGTTATTTACCGTTTTTGCCGTCGGCCGTCGTCAGTTCATCGTATGACCTTCGGGCTCGTCTTTCACTTGCGATCTTTTCCTTTTCTGTCCTGGCGTTCAGTCTTGCTGCCATTCCCCGTGAGTCTGCCTTTGACCGGTTCGTCTTATAAGAACAAGCCAAGGTTCTGCTAAGCGATTCCCCCGATCTAATCCACGTCTGAGAGTTTTGTTGAAGGCAGTATCTGATTTTCACGATCCCGTTTAAGTCTGAGGGTTTGGTAGAAGGAAGTTTACGTTGTTCCTCCTTTTCGAAGGCTCAGGACCTTCCTGTCCGACTCTCTTTATCCCTACCATCCTTCTCTTCTTCGCCGGCCAGTCAAACATTCCCATCGCCGGGCGCGCGACAGGGATTTTAAGTTAAGTAACTGAGATTTCCTCTAATGTCGGGTGAAGGAATCCTCCCGTGTAACCAGAAGAGACCTCCGGTCATAGCTCCTCCGTCCTCTGCAGCCTCGCCTTCTTTGCCTAATCATCATTCTCATCATGACAAGGTTCGTACCATCTTCATTTCGGGTCTGCCTACAGATGTCAAAGAGAGAGAGCTGCAAAACTTGCTGAGATGGCTTCCAGGTTTTGAAGCTTCGCAAGTGAGCTTCAAGGGAAAAGAGCCCAAGGGTTTCGCTCTATTCTCTATTGCAAAATTTGCTGTTGCTGCCAAAGATACCCTTCAGGAGATGGTTTTTGATGCCAAGTTGAAGTCTCTTTTGCACATTGAGATGGCAAAGAAAAATCTGGTTGTTAAAAAAGGAATGGGTACTGATTCTGTTGCAGTGGACATTTATAGCTGTCATCCTGTTCCTCCGGTTTTGCCTGCGCCAAATCCAGCTCCTGGAGCGTCTCCAAGTATTCATGTGCATGATAAATCTGGGTGTTATGTTGAAAAGTCTACCGCAGTTGCTGTCCAAGATGGATCTGGGGAGTCCACCACAAAGGATTGCATCAATGACAAGTCTGGATGTTTCACGTTATTTATTGATAATTTACCAGAGAAGAACCATTGGAAGAGGTTTGGATCTTTATTTTGCTCTCATGGCCGGGTACTTGATGCTTTTATTCCAAATAAAAGGAATTCAAAAGGAGTTTGTTTTGGTTTTATTCGCTTCGCATCATTCGAAGAAGCAAGGAGAACGATCTCTAAAATGAATGGCTTTAGTATCGACGGGCAGCAAAATTGGTGTTTCTTTCGCTAAATTAAAACCTCGTCATTCATATTGGAGAAAGTCATCGACAAGTATTCTTCGCAAGTCTGGGATGGAAGATGTTTCGAGTAAGAATCATTATAAAGTTGAAGGTGTTATAGATGAAGAAAAACTCCAGGTGTTGAGCAATTGTCTAGTGGGGTGGTGCAAGGACTTTGTTAAAATTGGTCATCTCGCTAGACAAATGCAATCGAAGGGTCTCACTGGCTTCACATTAATGAGAGCTGCTGGTAATGCGCTTTTAATGATTTTCGAAGACAATGTTTCATTGAGAAGTCTAAAGAACGACAAATCAAAGATTCTCGCAGAGTGGTTCTCCATAGTAGAAGCTTGGTCAGAGAGTTTGGTAATGGAGTGTCGTCGAGTATGGCTAGTTTGCGAGGGTGTTCCTTTTCACGCATGGAATTGGAATACTTTCAAGAACATTGCTGATAAGTGGGGTCTTTTATTGGCTATCGACGAAAGTTGTCAATCTCCATCATCCTTTGATCGGGCTAAAATTCAAGTCCTAACAAAGGCTGATGCAAGAATTGATTCGATGGTTGAATTGAAGGTTGGTGACAATTTCTTCAAGGTCATGGTGCATGAGATAGAACCTTCATTCAAACCAAACTCTTGGGCTCCTGAAGAATACAAGTCTCATTAGATCTCGTCTCTTCATTTGTGGTTTTATTTTAGTCTATATGGTTGTAGGTGTTGCTTTCATTTTGTATTATGTTCTGTCGCGTTGTTTTCTTACTACTGTTGGTGGTGTAATTAGTAGTAAGGTGATTTGACTGGCTTTGGATGAGGTTTTATGAGGTTAAGGTTTTTGTTGTAATGGTGTACATCACCATGAGAGGATATTCCGTAGTGTCTTTTGTATCGGGTATTATATTAATAAAATTTGAGGTACTCTTTTCTTCCTTCCAATGTTCGTTAACATACTTTTAGTATGTGAACGAATACGAAGGGAGTTTTTAATGAGACCTCCAACTTCTATCAAAAAAAAAAATCATTCTTCTGGTCATCAACATGGGGAGCTAAAGGTCATTTGATTTTAGAGAATGATTGTAAAAACGCCATAGAGTGGATAAAGAACCCAGTTTCTTGTCCAACATGTTATGAGCCATTTGTAAAGGACATTTTGTCCGTGGCTATGGGCTACGAGGTGATCTTTCGACTATGTCAGAGAAGTGCTAATTGGGAGGCAGACGAGTTAGCAAATAAAGGGATAGGTTGATATGTTGTTTAAGTTTAGACGGTAGCTTTATGGTTAATGGTCTTATTTTGCTGTGATAAATCTCGACTCTAGGTTTCTGATTTTTGGGCTGATGTATATCATTATCTTGGGTGTAATTTTCACCATTTGTACTTGTTTTATTCTCTAATAAAATATGAGGTATTCTTTTCCTCCTTCCAATGTTTGTTGTTATATTGATTAATATTTCGACGATTATGAAGGGAGTTTTTAATGAGACCTCCAATTCTTATAAAAAAAAGATTGATAATTCCCAACCCACCATTATCCTTCGATAGACAAAATATGATAATTTGACTTTTAAATATGATAATTTGATTACATTTATTAACACAATTCAACAACAGAATTACCACGCCACATCCTAAAACATGTGGCAAGGCAACTACACCAAACGGTTAAAGAAAAAGATGGTTAATTATTAAGTGTACGGCTGTTAAATTTGAACAGTCAATAATATTTTCTGTTGGTCAAAGGGAAATCTTGATGAAAATCTTGGGTTGGAGATCTAGATTGGATGTGGAAAAGGGGCCCAACTTATTTATCGAAAAAAGTCCAGCGGCTTCTTATAACTTTAAGCCTTACAACAAGGGTTGGAGATAGATAGGCATTTTATCTCGGAAAAAGTCAGCAATGGAGTAGTTCAACACAACTATGTTCCTAAAGTGCATCAATTGGACGATATCCTTACTAAAGCTCTTCCAGACCGGTTCTAAATGATTTTTCATCCAAACTGGGAATATTCAACATATTCTCAGCTTGAGGAGTGTAGAATATTACCGTGGGAAATAGCAGTAAATTATTTGATTTAGTAGACTAGATTAACTAGAACTCTATCCTATTTGATTTAGTAGTTTAGATTAACTATAACTCATCCTATTTGATTTAGCGGTTTAGATTAACTATAACTCATCCTATTTGATTTAGTAGTTTAGATTAACTATAACTCTTATCTTTTATTTTCTAAATAGGATGGAACCTTATCTAGGAGTAATTGTAGTTGTATTCAAACACTTCTACTCAGCATATTTAAATGAGGCTTGTATATTTTCACTCACTTTATTCGATTTATCTCTTTAAAGACACTTTTGTCGCTGGGCCTTTTCTTTATAAGACTGGGAGGTCTCGTTAACAACTCCCTTCATATCCATTGAAATACATTACAGTATTACAACGAACATTGGAAGGAGGAAAGAGTACCTCAAATTTTATTAGAGAAGCAAATCAAATACAACAAAGAAGAGACATAACCTAGCTAGGAACAGACACCAAGCCAAAAACAGAAACAACTAGATACAAAATCAAACCCACAATACAAGAGAGAAACAAGTTAACTAATGACTAATTTCGCTAGCTTATCCGCCTCCCACTTAGCACTTCCCTGGATGTGCCCTAAAATCACATTACAATCCAACACAATAGAGCTAATTTCCTTCACAATACACTCGAAGAGGTAGGACAAGAGCCAGAATTTTTTAACTATTCCAAGGCATTAATACAATCACTTTCCAAAATCAAACGCCCCTTAGAACCCCATTCTGATTCCATGAAGAATAGCAAACAAGTGGCAGTCCGCTTCTTCCTCTAATTGGTGGCAATGACATTCCTAAAAACGGTAGTGCAAAAGCCAGAACAACCACAAGAAAAGGATGCATTCTAAGTCATGGAAGAGGGGGAGCAAACATCATAGGCCTCAAGTACTACAGATTAACAATAACAATGGTCTTTTTAGCAGCACAATATCTACTTGTTCAAATTAAATTACCAGTACCACCAATTGACAATAGATATAAACATACCTGATAGATTCTTCAATTTGTGGAGGATGAAACCTTGAAAATACATCACCAAATCTCATGTAGGAGAGTCCCAAAAGTGCCCTGTAAAGTTTAAATTAGACATGATCAGGACTAGACCAGTCCATGGACTGGGCCAAGCAAGCCAATCACAGTTGACTAGAAAATTTTCTTTCCCAAGGCTCAGCCTGATCCATCAGGCCCAAAAGTTTGTTTGACTATTAAAAAACATCAAAAAAATATTTTATGGCATTAATTAATAACACATTTTCCGATTTTTTTATAAAAATATGGGAGGCCTCGTTAAAAAATCCTTTCATAACCTTTAAACTACATATGTAGCTTGACGGACATTGGAAGGAGGAAAAGATTGCCTCAAAAATTTATTAATGAAATACTTATAACAAAACCAGTACAATACAAATAATACTCACCAGAATACATAACCCAACCAAAAATCCAAATTAAATTGAAATAAAAAATCTATTAACTAAATACTAGGCCAAGGTCCCAAAAATCACGTCCAAATCCTAGTTTGATGAGGGCAGGTCTAGTCAAAACTTATCCAAGATTTATTCAAGGGATAAAACAAACCTTTCAATACGATTCCTTAAAGCCTGAGAAAGGGCAGCAGCAACCTCTTCTGAATCACCAGGAGCCAACCAAAGTCCAGAAGCAACAACTTCAACAAAATAAACAGATAAGTAAAAAATAGTGCATTGAAAGAAGTGAATCATTCATTTATTTCATTGATACCCAAAAAATTGAATCCGGAGAGTTTGGAAGATTATCGGCCTATTAGTTTATTTGGCGGACTTTACAAAATTTTGTCGAAGGTGCTCTCAAGAAGACTGAGGACTTGCATAGATTCTCTTATAGGTCCGACTCAATTTGCATTTGTACCAGGAAGGTAGATTCTTGATTGCTTCTTTATAGCAAATGAAGGGATTGATTTTTGGAGAAGAAAAGGGCTGAAAGGTGTTGCTTTTAAAGTGGATTTAAAAAGAGCTTACGATTCAATAGATAGGTCGATTTTGTTGAAGGTTATGGAATATATGGGGTTTGGGCAGCAATGGCGTTCTTGGATTTTAAAGTGTTTATCTTCAGCTTTAATCTCCATCTTAGTTAACGGCTCCCCGACTGAAAAATTTAAGATGTTTAGGGGGTTACGCCAAGGGTGTCTGTTATCACCGCTTTTGTTTAATTTAGTGGGTGAGATGTTAGTTTGATGCTGACTAAAGCGGTGAAGATGGGTCTCTTCAGTGGGTTTCAGATCAGAGGTACGGATATGGCATTCCTGTTGTCTCATTTGTAGTTCGCGATGATATGTTAATTTTCTGTGGTGCTTCGGAAGGGCAACTGAAGAATGTGAAGAGAGTATTGACCATTTTTTAATTGTGTTCGAGGCTTCAACTAAATTTGTCTAAGAGCAGAATTTTTTGTATTAATGTTGATGAATCGTGCATCAAAGCGTGGGCAGACTCGATTGGATGCTCGGTTAGATTCTTTCCAACGGAATACCTTGGTCTTCCCCTTGGCTCGACGAAAAAATTCGATTACGTTGTGGGATCCAATAATCCAGAGATGTTACCAGAAATTGACGGGTTGGAAAGCAAATACTCTTTCTCTGGCAGGGAGGGCATGTTGGTGAAGTCGGTTTTAAGCGCTTTGCCAATTTATTTTATGTCGTTGTTTAGAATGCCGAATAAGATTCTGAGGAAACTGAATTATATTATGGCAAACTTCTTATGGGGTGGTTCATCTCAAAATAATCGTATCCATTGGGTGAATTGGCAGATTGTGCGCAGACCTAAAGGTCAAGGGGGTCTGGGTATAATTGATCTAATCTCTATGAATACGGCTCTCCTGGGAAAATGGGCATAGAAGTTTGCTACGAAAAAAGAGTCTTGGTAGAAGAAATTGGTGCGCTGTAAGTATAATTTGGATAATAGATTAAGTTTGATGGACAACGGGATATCTTACAAGTCATCTTGGATTTGGAGAGGAGTGGTTAATAACTGCGGGGCGAATGATGCTTTTGGTCATTGTTTTAGGAATCATTTTCAATTACAAGTTGGAAAGGGGAATGATTTCATGTTTTGGTCTGATAGGTGGATTGCAATGTCTCGCTTAGGTTGAAATTTCAGAGATTGTTCTCCCTTTCCTTTAATAAAGGGTAAAATATCCGAGTTTGGTTTTCATAATGCAGGGGGTTGGTGTTGGGATATACAGTTTCGAAGAAATTTATTGGACTGGGAAGTAGAGCAGTGGGTGGGAATTACTATCGTTTTTAAGCAATGTGAGTATTCATAATGATGCGAATGATCAATGTGTATGGACGGGGAATGGGGAAGGCGTTTATTCGTTAAAATCATGTGTTAAATTACTGTCAGAATGGTCTATTGGATATCTGATTTGGTCAAAGTTGGTTTGGATCGGTTATGCCACACCAAGAGTGGAGGCGTTTATGTGGTAGGTTTTGCATCAAAAATTGGCTATTAAATCTAAACTTTTAAAGCGTGGTGTTACTGGGATAGAGAACATTTTATGCTCGCTATGTGGTTTGCATCAAAAGACAGTTTCTCACCTATTTTGTTTCGTGTTCTATTGTGTGGGGCCTTTAGGGGTGTTTCTTAGATTGTGGAACCTATCCACAGTCCTTCCAGAGCATCCTAATATCTTCTTATCGTCTTGGGAAAACCTTGTTCCAAAGTCTATAATCTGGAATTTTATTCCGGGAGCTATCATTTAGGCAGTTTGGAAGTGTTAGAACCATGTAATTTTCAAGAACGGAAACATTGATCTTAATCATTTGTTCTTTTCATCTAGATATAGAGTGGTGGCGTGGATTTTGGCGAAATTTCTTAATTTTCCACTTCTCTTTGATTGCCTTGTTGGTGACCCGAGGCTGGCTGATTCAAGTAACTTGTCCATGAAGATTAATCTTTCACCGGTCTCGTGGAGTCCCCCTCCCATGGGTTTCTTTAAAATTAATGTGGATGGGGCAGTAAAAATAGATTGGGAAAGCAACGATATTGGGGGAATACTAATAAATGAAGTGAGTAAGGTTTTGGGCTCATTTTTGGGTCCAGATGGTCCAGGTCCCCCTATTTTAGCTGAATTGAAGGCCATCCAAGCTGTTTAGTTTTGTTTTTAGATTCAGAGTGGTGTGGCAAGGGTCGACTAATTGTAGAGATTGACTCAACAAATGCAGTAAATTGGATTAAGAATCCAGAAGTGTGTCCTACCGTATTTTCACATCTAGTTAAGAAAATTGTAAGTGTTGTTTTCAAGCATAGTGTTATTATAAGGTTTGTAAAAAGGTATGTGAATTGGGAGGCAGACTGCTTGGCTAAGGCGGGTATAGGGTAGTAGTTCAGTATTGTGTGGTTGTAGTGGGAGTGGTGTTTCTAATAGCCGGCTATCGTATGAACTGGAATAACATTTGAGGCACTCTTTTCCTCCTTCCAATGTCCGCTGATGTATTTTTGTACAACAGTGGTTATGAAGGGGGTTTTAACGAGGCCTCGTTATCAAAAAAATATTGTAAATACAGCATAAGCAAAAGTGCCATGTGGACAAAAAAGGAAACTTAGTTCTGTCTACAAATTCCCTAATAGATAAGTGTTGAATACATATAACTAAAGAAAAGAAAAGAACAAACAACAATAGAAACTCAGGGCTATGTGATACCTCTTAACCTGGACACTGCAGATTGTGCAGAGTCCACAACAGATGCATGACGTCCTGGAATGAAAAGCCATAGCTTAATTTTCTCATCTATATGCATCAAAACAACTCCATTAGATAAAAAAACAGTGAATCTTATATCTTTCTTTCAAAGTTAAACCACAGAAAAGTTCATTGTGAAAAAGCAAGATTGGACCTAACCTGGATTATGCAGACCTTGAGATGGATCCCAGGGACCGACAAAGGAATTGGTCCATGCACTAAGAAATCCCTCCTTCTGTAGCTGCAGATGGGATGAGAGAACTAACAATGTAGCAGCATCTTTCTGCTCTACTTTTATTCTGTGCAACCTCAATTCGCAAATTATAAATAACTGGTTGGTTACACAGTAACTCTGATAATTTACTTCTTAAAAGCTCCAAGAGATGCATAGAAAGATAAGAGAAAATAGACGCCCTGGGTACTAACCTTTTATCAGGGAGCGAATTTAAATCAGATTCAACCGGAAGAAACTGGAACCATGACACTTGACTGAGACCTCCCTGTAGAAAGAGCCCATGTTCAATGTTAAAGAAATGATTTAATCTTCTGGGTATTAAAATTCAGAATCTTTGGCAAATACAAAATTCGCATCAACATCATAAAAATGCCTAAAATGGTGCAGCATGATCAATCCCTGTTAAATGAAGTATATAATCCTAATATTAGCGGGATTAGCGGGACGGGTGGATTACCAATCCTTTAATGTAACTTAAAGTTTCTTTATCACCTTCAAAATTTTGCAAAGCATTTTTCAATACAAATGATTAAACAAATAAAGTAAAACAAAATTGAGAGAGGAGAAAAAAACCTAACTGCCAGTCCGCAAATAAGTTGGCTAGAATGCAATCCTTAACCAGTGCAAGGTTAGTCGAACTTCAAACTAGTTCGATCAGGAATTATTCTCTAGTTTGCAAATGAATTATTGAGTTCAACAGCACAAACAAAAACCCTAGTTCGATCAGGAGAAAAGAAATTTAAAAAAAAGCATGGAAATTAAAAGAGAAACGAAGAAGCGACGTACGAGTCTAAAAACATTCGTCCACATGATTTGATAATAACTGCAAGGAAGGTCTCTCTCGCTCAGCTTCTTCTTCTTCAGTTTAGGGAAATTGAAATTGATTTCCCCTCAGATTACCTGCAATTTTGCAGATGAACACCGAGGGAATAAGGTTTCTAGGGTTCCGCTTTCGGGTGTCAACTTTCAACTGCAAGCCAACTCGCACTAAAACCCACAATTAATTCAGTCTATATCACTTATTATTTGAAGCGCGGACACAATTAGAAACTTTATGGTTAGTATAGAACCAGAAACATGTAGATCCAGGATGGGGATGGAACAAAAATGATGTTTCAAAAATAAAATACTTTCAAGTGAGAAAAAGACATCTGTATATATCAAATTGTAATTTATTATTAAAAAAATTAGAGCACTAAATTTTAGTAAATATATACAATACGATTCTCATAAATTTGTAAAAATATATATAATTTAACTATTTTATTTTATAGTGAAATCAAGTATACTAAAGGAATTCAAAAAATATAATCTTAATTAAAATTTTAATTTATTATAAGAATAATCGACATAAAAATCAACTCTCTGCTCCCAACGCAAGGTAATCTTAGCGTTTTGTAGGACATGACTTTCCCTACAAGGCAGGGATTATGGGTGTTCTCTCCGACGACAGACGTTATCCAAGATCAAATTGAAAGAAATGAGAATAATGGATCAAAATTCAGTCCGATTCTTTACAATCGCATTTCACTTGCATCCCATTGCTATCTTTGTAATCATTTCTCTTTACAATCAAGCCAAAATTAAAATATTTCATAAAGCTACGGCCAGGGCTCCCTTAAAATGATCATACAACGAAGGCTCCGACATTCTTCAGTTCGGCATAGTTTGCAATCTTATATGCTTGTACTTTTGTTCAGTGTTGAACCGTCTTGAACCCTCTGTCAACCCTTTCAATAAAAGAAGTTTCAATCCTTCAACTCCCTCTCGCAAAGCGGTATCAATCTTGTTCAACAGTATAAAAGGGGGGGGAAGTAATATCACTTATAAATGCTAGAGTTCGAAGATAGAGTTCAGTTCCCAACTTTAAACAATACCATATTCCTAAAAGTAGCACCTTTAAGAAACCGGATGGGAAATTAAAAGATTAGGAAGTCGAGCAATAACAGGTGGAACGATTCAAACTTAAAACATGTTAAAATATGTTACAATACAAATTTAGAAGCAACACTAGAACAAACCTAGGCTAATGTAAATCCATTTGAATCCTGCGTATGTGAACAGTTTCTCCCCTTTCTACATGTCAAGAAGGAATACATACTTGCAAATTAACAGGGTGCAATGTCATTAAGCTATTACTTTTTTCCTTCATTAGTTTCAGATATACATTTCTCAATGAACGAGGAAAAGAACACTTGAATATCAAGAAGTATTGTGTTTTCAAGGATGCAAACTGCACTTTAGGTACTAGGGCCGTTGTCTAGATGAGGAATGTGGTGCAAGAAAAATGCTCAGACACATGAAGACAATAACCTTTAGAAGACGAATAACACATATACAGGACAAAGAAAATTGCATGTATCATGTCTAATAAGCTAAAACATAATATTCAAGTTGATAAACATTGAAGAGTTTATTCCAACACAACCTTTCTGAACTTTTCACCTCGCAAGAAAAATATGCCCTGACAAAAAATGCCTCACCTGAATGGATGCATGGCACTTTGTTTGATATGTGAGGTGCTTAAGTGCTCCTTGATACAACTGGTATGTATTGGAGATGTATTTCAACTAAATATACTTGATTCTTGTTTAAATTATAATCAAATACTTGCCCTTTAAATTGATGCTCAAAAGTTAATCACATACATAGAATTTTCTCTTATTAGATTTTTGTTCTGGTGTTCATAATTCTTGGAGTGAACCTATATTTTTAGAGTTTTCTTTCCCTTCTGCCAAAGTCAGGGATCTGATCAAGAAAGATATTTGGTTATAGTTTCTTCATAAAGTGTTCTATACTTGACAGCACGAACGAAAAAATAAAGCTTTTGTTATAATCTTTCAAACTTAACCAAGAATTATAAATACCTTCAACATTTATAGCATTTGATTTAAGTCTAAATAACACAGGTCAATTTCAATAAACTATCAATAGACTCTACTAGACATAAAAGTTTTTTATTGTTAGTCATGATTTCCTAGGAGCCACATGACATTTCTAGAATAGCCATCAGGCATGATATAAAGGGGGAAGGAGGGTAAGAAAAGGAAAATGAATATAGGCAGTTTTATATGATTTTGCTCTTTTCTTCTCCCTCATCTATATATATATATATATATATTGGGAATGAAATGGCCCCCACGCCCACAACATTGAATCAGAGGCCTAAATGCCCTACCGCTTATTGTTGAGAACCACTCAATTATATTCAGAACCACCCTTCTAGGGCCAAAAATGGCCATAACGTGCCATCTTAGGCTCGTTGTAACTGGATTAAATAAAGAGCAAGCTGGCCTAAAAGACTCGATTTTGTATATGCTGCCAAATAAGGCATCAACAAGGGATATCTGGGTAGTTACTTCGTACTCTCCGGTTGTGGTGACTCGCAGGGAACAAGGAATGATAAAAGAAAGATATACACGAACAAAGGGAAAACCGGAAAAAAAATGTTTGCTTATATAATTATACTAGTTCATTGTCTGCAGCTAGGACATTTAATTTTATTCATAATTTTTTGACTTTAATATTTTTCCAGCTATACAAAATTTTGAGGGAAATATTCTCTATCCTTAACCCCCATGGCTTGATTGTACTAAATTTAGACTGTTGATTATATTTTGGTAAATTTTTAAAGCAAATCAAGCATTATATCAAAACCTTTTGAAAAACAAGATCTGAATTGAAAATGAAAATTACGAACAAACATGAACGAATGCTATGCCAAATCTTACTCGTTCTGGAGCTGATGCATTAAACTTTTGCAGTAAAAATGCCTTAGGATCCATCTGGCCAGTCGGCTTACCAATACCTAACAAAATACCATATGATTAAGCTACTCAACGAAGAAATGAAGCATCTAGGAATACAATAAAATAATATTGGACTTCAAGCCCACCAATTCGTAGCCGTGCAAACTCGTTGTTTCCCCGAAAATGATAGATTACACTCTTCAGCCTATTAAAATAAGCAACAATGAATAATTATGGAAAATAGCTTAAAATAGAGCAAGCTTCAAATATGTAATCCAAAAAACAAGAGTAACCCACATCTTTGGAAGTCATAAACCAATAAAGTGGCATACACGCTAGGAATTCTAGTTCTCTTTTCCTTTGTATTTTTCTTTCCTCAAACAATATAGTTTTTCAAAATGCTTCCATGTTTACTAGAATAATGTTCCAATATCCAAGAACATTGTGTTCATACAATGAAATTATGATATTTCTATTTTCTTGGAATATAAAAAACTGGCTGTTATGGTTAATAAACCTTTTGATGCAAAAAAAAACATGGATACTTCTTAGTGAATAAACTAGTTAAAAACTTAGAATGTTTAGATTCACTAGCAAACTCTAATAATGATCATTGCATTGAATGTTAGAAACAAATCCTCAAGAGTCATGCTTATGGAGATTTTAGCAAGTAGCAAAATAAAAAGGAATGCATGCAAAAAGCAACAGCAGTGGAGATAAATACCCCCAACAGGAACATATGTTCTAATCACATTTCAAACGATGAGATTATTTCATTCAAAAAGTAAATATTCTTTTTATTATTTTCTTAACTTCACATTCCACCGAATGCTATTACTATATAATGCAAACCAAATTATTTTCCCCCTTTTGTTCCTTTCTTTTAATCATTTGTGCTGGGAAGCAAACGTTTTGCAAAATTAGTCGAGGTTGAAACTTCGCTCATGCAGTAGCAAAGCATTTTGTAAAGCGGTAAGAAGAAAACTCAACAAATTCAATGCAACTTCATATAAAGGTTTTCTTCAGGCAAAGTGCATAATATTCTCCATCCATACCCATTATGGCTTCCACGACCTCCTTTGTCTTTAAGACGAAGCACTCCACATGGTACGTCCATGTCATCATGAAACTAAAACAGAAAACATTATACAAGAGCAACTATAAGATGCTATCACTTATTTCTTTTCATGATAAACAAAGCTGAAAAGAACAATCAAAATCTTGGAGAGATACGTCAGGAAATGGAAAAATTACCACAATCACTCGATTAAGAGGTAGCTTAATAAGCTGCAAGGGCTCCAGTCTACAATTAAATGACAAAAAATAAAGTTATATCAAGTGTGATGTCCATTGATGGAACTTCAGACATGTATTTCAATATTTAAGCACAAAATAATGACACTTATCCTTAAAAAAGTGATACGAAACGGACATCCTCGCCACACAGATTTAAAAGGAATATAAGACATTTCAGTTCCCCTAACATTGCTGCGCCGGGGGATATATATTTCTAAACAATTAAGCCCTCAAATTACATCTTTTAAATGTTTAAACCATAAGTGTTGCACCACTTCTAGAAAGAGTTGAATGTTTCTTGTTAGCCCTTTCCAGCTTAACTTCTAGAGTATTGCTAATGATTAACATCAGTAGTTTTAGGGCCCACGTCTAGATTGTAGGGACTCTAATTTATTCAACAACATAATGGAATAACTCCTATGCCTCCAAATGATATTTTACTAGTTGAATCATTTTTAGTTTCATCAAGCTCAATGATTATAGAAGAGGCACAGGTCCAGGGGCATAGTGTTGCACCAGACGTGAGGACCACAACTCAATAAGATAGCCGCTCCTTAAGAGGAAGAGGAAGAAGAAAAAGAAGAACTAGATATTCATGAAAGACTGAAAATATCCAAAAAAAAATTTTATGCAAAGTTGAAAGCTAAATATGCCAAATGAATCAAACAACAACCAATCAACCAGCAAGCCTTCCATCTCTATACTAAATCAAGATTGTTCAGTGGGTTATCCCCAATTCCGACCATGTTTTATAAGTTACGAACTATTTCCATAGGATGAATGCATTTTTCTATTGTTTATACATATATATCAATTATGCAACAAGTAGAATGAAATCAACAGTACCAATAAGTTCATTCAATGTTAAACAGTTATGTATTATGATATCAAGAGACGGATAATTGCATGAACTGAAAAGCTTTAAACACGCAAAATAAGAAATAAAATTTCGAGATCACTCACAGATTCACCACTCAAGTTCATATATGTTTGAGGCTTAGCCAGAAGAAGAGGTGCATCACCCACAAAACCTGAAATAATAAGGTCGCCAAAGAGCAATGAGATTGCACATTCATTAAACTACATAA